AAACTAAGAAACAAACAAAAAAAGTTAAAGGTTAAATTTTCTTCTCTCTGTTCAATTTTCATACAGTGAAAATTAATGGGTTATATCATTTCTTAGTCCTACTATTTATAAAGGTAGAGTTTTTTGAACGAGAGATGATACCTACTCTATTGTAATAATATTTTAGGCACTCCTACTAAGTAGTTTATTTTTTTAATTCCAACCCATATATCTATTCATATCATACTATATAAAATTAAGATAAAACTTAATCTCACTTGGATTATGAACTTTATTGGACTTTATCAATTTTTCATTTGACTTATTTTTTAAGAAAACTAAATACAATTAGCAGAAACCAACATAAAATTTCCAATATTCTCCCACTTGCAATAGTAATTGGTTTTCAATTTTAAAAATATATTTTTAAAAATGACTCTTAGGTCAAACGCAACTTTAGTGGCCACAAATATAAATCAAAAATTCAGTACAGAATTCCATTCAATAAAAGTATCAATATTGAATTGTAGTGATCATTGCATTTCCTTTTAATGTAAGATCCCTCACAATCACAAAATATCAAATATTTCCATCAACATGAATTCAAATAGGTGTGATAAAATATAGTGTGGTTTGACATAATATGATCCTTATAATATATAATATGTCAAGACCACAATGACCCTTTTTATGATTTCAAAGAAACTCTTTTACAATTCCTCATGGGAAGACTTTAAATTTATTTTAATTTAAAAGAAACTCAGGAGTAAACTACCAATACTTTCAATTAGACACTTCAAAAGAAACCTTTTTAATCTTTATATCTAAAACATATATATCTTCGTGGATTCATAACAAACATGGGCATTAAAATAAGAGCACATAATAGAAAATAAAATATGGTGATATGAGCTTTATTAATATAAATACTTAAAGGGTCATAATATCCTCAAAATCATTAACTCCCACTAACCTAGTATCTAAAAGACAATGATAGCCCCATGTTTCCCATGTCTTTCAAAGTCAATAAATCTAAGTCCTTTGGTTGGTGGGTCGACAAGAATATTGTCCGTACCAATATTCTCATGCTCAATAACACCATTGTCAACCCATAGCCCATAGCTTGATTTGAAGTACTTTGAATTTTGCACCACCAGTATTCTTTGTGTTTTTGGAAAAGGATACCGCAAAAGAGTTATCACAATAAATTTTAAGTGGTTTGGAAATGGAATCAATAACTCTCAATTCTATAATAAAATTTCTCAACCATTTGGCATGGCCTCCAGCTTCAAAACAAGCTATGACCTCAGCTTTCATGGTAGAAGTCATTGAAATAGATTGCTTAGAACTTTTCCAAGAGATAAGACCACCTACAAGGATAAATATATAACCAGTACCTAGTAGATTTCCTATCATTTGTACATGTAGCAAAATCTTCATCTACAAATCCCACCACATCTAAGTTCTCAACCCTTCTATAAACAAGCATGTGATTTCTTGTGTTACGCAAATATCTCAAGGCTGCTTTGCAACAATCCAATGGTGATAACTAGGATTAGACAAATATCTACCAAGTATACTAGTTGCAAAAGCCATTTCTGTTTTGGTATACACTTTGTGAATACGTTAAACTCCCAACAGCACAACTATAAGAAACTCCCTTCATCTGCTCCTTCTTAATATTATTTTTAGGACATTGTTCATCACTCAACTTGTCCCTTTTATTTATTGGGGCCACACCAAGTCTACAATAATGTAAACCAAATTTGTCAAGAACCCTATCAATATAGGTTCTTTGTGAAAGTCTCAACATTTTCTTAGATCTATCCCTATGGATTTCTACTCCAAGAAAAAAAGTAGCCTTTCGCAGATCTTTCATGTCAAAGGTTTTAGAAAGCATCCTTTTCACATCTAACAATAATTCCATATCACAACTAGCAAGTAAAATATCATCCACATATAATACTAAAAAAACATATCTACTTTTACTGACCTTGAGATATATGCAATTGTTAATAGTATCCTCCACAAAACCTAAGGATGTGACTACCTCGTGAAACTTTAGATACCATTGTCTAGAGGCTTGTTTTTAAACCGTAAATAAACTTCTTCAACTTACACATCATGTGCTCTTTTCCTCCTACTTCAAAACCTTCAGGCCGCATCATGTACACCTCTTCCAACAAGTCTCCATTTAGAAAAGCAATCTTAACATCCATCTGATGAAGCTTAAGATCAAAATGTGCTACTAAAGCCATTATAATTATAAAAGAATATTTAGAAGAGATTGGAGAAAAAGTTTCTCTACAGTCTATTTCTTCCTTTTGTGTGTACCCTTTTGCAACTAGTTTAGCCTTAAACCTTTCAATCTTTTCTTTTGTATCCTTTTTAGTTCTATAAATCCATTTACAACCAATGGGTTTAAAACCATTAGGAATTTCCACCAATTCCCAAACTCCACTACCATACATAGACAACATCTCCTCTTTCATGGCAAATTGCCATTTATCTGATTATGGACTTGTAATGGCTTTAGAAAAAGTTATTGAATCTACAACTGTCCCAATATCATGATATACTTCCCCTGAATAGACTACAAAATCATCTGATATAATAGGTCTCCTTTCTTTTTGATAACTCCTAGTGGGAACTATAGGATCTAGTTGAATATTTTGTAATTTTTCAAAAGATATAGGTTGATTCGTTTCATCTTGTTGGTTTCTACTCCCTGACATTGGTACCACCTCCTTATGTATGATAGGCACTTGTATAGTTGTTAAAGATTTTTCAAAACTTGACAAAAAAACTTGCCTTGTCACGTGAACAATCACTATTCCTAACATCCTCCTCTAGAAATTTTGCTGTCATAGATTCAACAATCCTTGTGCTATTACTTAGGGCAATAGAACCTGTAGCTTTTAGAAGCTTCTGGGTAATTGATAAAAAATCGAAGTGTTGTTCTGGGATCAAGTTTTTTCTCATTAGGATTATAAATCTTAATTTTTGCAGGACGCCTCGCCAAATGCTTGAATGATTTAAACTAGGTTTTTTTTTTTTTTTTTTTATCTATCTATAGTTCAAAAGGTGTTTTGGAAGCAGATTTACTAGGTACTTGGTTTAGGATATACAGTGCTGTTTTGAGAGCTCCACTCAAAGGGATTCAAGTAACTTACT